CTACTGCCGTCCGTGTAATACTGAACATCGGGGTTCTGGATGGGAAAATCATGAAGGTCCGGTCTACTTGAGAACACTTCATCCATTACCTCCAGGCAATCATGTCGACTCTCAGTAGGTTGCGGCAAGAGGGTAGCTGGGTTCAAGGTATTAACAGTCTCAAGATGCACTCTCGGGTTCTCGCATAACATGGCTTGATACTTAGTCATGCGGCTATTGCTAAACCAATGATTACCTTTATAGTCTAGCAATGTCTGTACTGCGTGCGGGACTCGCACATAGAGTTCCTGACCCAGAGTGAGCTTGTCAGCTTCTGCTACCAACAGGGTGGCGGCAGCTACGGCCCTTAGACAAGGAGGAAGACCACTGGCTACTGCATCCAGTTGTTTGGACATATATGCAACAGGTCGTTGCCATGATCCCAGATACTGTGTCAGTACTCCCACAACCATCCTTCTTTGCTCGTGTACATATAAGTAGAATGGACGTGTATGATCAGGTAGACCTAATGCGGGGGCCTTCTTAACATCCTCAAATGCCTTCTGCTGTTCGATGGTCCACAGGAAGAAATCATGTTCCGTGCCTTTAATAGCGGCATAGAGGGGTTTCGCCAGTATCGCATAACTGGGAATCCATATCCTATAGAAGCCTGCTGCCCCTAAGAATTCTCGCACTTGTCTTCTATTCTTAGGTGTTGGTATTTGGCATACAGCCTCTTTTCTTTCAGGCCCCATTATCCTTTGACCTTCAGAGATATGGAATCCCAGATACTTGACAGTTGGCTGACACAACTGAGCTTTCTTCCTGGACACCTTGTATCCTGCCTTCCAAAGAATGTGCAGTAAATCATAAGTTGCTTGCTGGCATATCTCTTTAGTAACCGCCGCTATCAACAAATCATCCACGTATTGTAGTAGCACACATTCTCCTGGGATGGACTTGAAATCTAATAAGTCCTGACTTAATGCTGATCCAAAAAGGGTAGGTGAATTTTTAAACCCTTGGGGCAATCTTGTCCAGGTCATCTGACGTTTCGAGCCCGTTACAGCATCTTCCCATTGGAATGCAAAGATACACTGGCTTTCTGTAGCAATTCGTAGGCAAAAGAAGGCATCTTTAAGGTCCAAGACTGTAAAGTAAGTAGCCCCACCCGGAATCAAGGCAAGCAGGTTATAAGGATTGGGCACAACTGGATGTATACTTACTACCGCATCATTGACTGCTCTCAAATCCTGCACAGGACGATACTCATCTGACCCAGGCTTCTGAACAGGCAACAATGGAGTATTCCAGGGGGAAGTACAGAATTTTAGGATACCATACCTTATGAACTTATCCAAATAAGACTGTATGTTCTTCTTCGCCTTTTGAGGTATATGGTATTGTCGCAGGCTTACTGGATAAACCCCAAGCTTTAGTTCGATGCGTATAGGTGGGATATTGCGAGCAAGTCCTGGTGGGTTATTTTCTGCCCACACTCCTGGTATATTATACAAGGATTCATCACTCTTAGGGTTTTGACTTGTCATCACTGTATAAAGTCGCCACTCTTCTTCCTTTGGTACTGATAGTGTCATTATACCTGAGGGTCCATTAAACTTCAAGGATGTCGTTCCGTTAGGCAGAAATGTTATCTGTGCTTGTAACTTCGACAACAAATCCCGTCCTAGAAGTTGGACTGGACATTCAGGCATGTAAAGAAACTGATGTTTCACTACATGGCCTCCCAGTGTACAGAGTCGACTTTTGAGAACCGGTTTAGCAGCACTCCTCCCAGTTGCTCCTATTACAGTGATAGTTCTTCCTGAAGGAGGAGCAACTAGGTCGGTTACCACAGAATGTTCAGCACCAGTGTCGATCATGAAAGAACTCCTTTTCCCCCTATTGCTACATCGACCATAGGCTCCGCTCGACCAAGGGGGATGGAGCCCGGTCGGTATCAATAGTCCTCCATGACAGTGTCAGCCAAACCCACAAAGTCCCTATCTTCTCTTTCTCACGGTCTCTGCGCTTCCTCTACTATTCCCACCATTTCCTCCAGGGCCTCCTCTTCCTCTCACTCTACCTCTATAGTTATTACTATATCCTCCCCTTGTTCTATCTCTCTCATGTTGTTCCCTCAATGGACACTCACTCCTCCAATGTCCTTCTTCCCTACAATATGCGCATTGGTTCCTACTTAAAGGCTCCCTATTCCACTTATTCTCGCTTTTCTCGGTTCCCCTGTACACTTCCTTTTCCCTTCTATCTACACCAGCGATAGCTACCGATAACATATCTGCCTTCCTTCTCATCTTACGCTCTTCTTCCTTCTTCGTCTCTGTCGCCCTATTCATATAAACCTTATTTGCTATTTCCATTAGTTGAGTTATAGACATCCCTACAAACCCTTCTAGCTTTTGCAATTTTCGTTTAATATCTCCGTAAGCCTGGCTGACAAAGGCAGAGTTAACCATCCGGGAATTCTCAGGAGCCTCTGGACTAAAGGGGGTATACAATCGGTATGCCTCCAATAATCGGTCATAAAAGGCACTGGGCGACTCATCACATTTCTGCAATACCTCAGCCGTCTTTGACATATTGATCGCCTTTTTCCCTCCGGCTTTCATGCCAGTAATAATGGCTTCCCTATAAGCTTTTAGGTGAGCCATATCAGCACCATTAACATTCCAATTCGGATCTACGTTTGGGTAATGAGCTGCGGCCCATGCTACCGGGTTGGCCTGATTCTGTGCACGGGCCACTTCTTCAAGCGCTTTAATTGCCGCCTGATTAATCTGAGTCCTTTCCTCGTTATTAAACAATGTCATAAGCAATTGCTGGCAATCAGCCCAAGTGGGATTGTGCATTTGGATTATGGAGGTAATCAAAATTGTCATGGCTTGAGGTTTGTCTGTGTAAGAGGAGTTATGGGTTTTCCAGTTGAACAAATCCGTAGTGGTAAAGGGAACATAAACAAATACGGGGTCAGCATGTTGTAACTGGCCTTCATCATTAATGTGTGTCAGGCCCAGTGTCAATCGGAGAGGCATTTGATAATTTTGGGGTTGAGGAAGGTCAATTGTCGGGTTAGTATGGGGCTTCGTTGAGGAAGGTCAGTTATGGGTTCCGGTCGAGGGGTAGTGAGACGAGGGGAGGGGGGCGCTTTTTCTGAAGGGGAGGTTGGTAAGCAGAATATTCCGGGCCGGGCTGGGAGGAGCCTGACCAGGAACCAGAAATGACGTCAAATCCGGATAGGTGGAGTTAGTGGGGGTAGGTACCGGAAGGGGAGGGTTTAGAACAAGTGGGCTAGGCTCTGAGCTAGAGGATGGGGTAGGAGGAGACAATGGGGCAAGGGGAGTGGCATTACTAGCTGCACCTCCTCTTCCTCTTCCTGTAGAGGAGGAGTAAGGGGGCGGTAAAGGAATCTCTGACTCAGGGGGCGTGTCCAGAATGGGCGTGATCACGGCCTTGGTGGACAAACGAGTTCTGGCCAACAGTAGGCGGCATTGCTCCTCTTGGCACACCCTGATCCATTTTGGCAAGTCATCCACGGCCTGTTACCAACAATCAAAATATGGAAACTGGTCGTAAAGTTCCGGCCTACCAGATACAGCTACGTGTACACGCTGCACTAGATTAGGATCAAGACTACCACGTGGAGGCCATGCAACCACTAAGGCAGGCCATTCCCTGCTACATAAAGTAGTCAAACGTGTTGGAGACATCTTTACCCCAAAATCACATACATTATATCCCTTTTTAAAATTCTTTAACATGCAATCTAAGGGATCAACGATCTTTGAATCCAGCGCACCCATACTTAACAATGGAGCGTCGTCTCCAATAGAAACAAAACAAAACACACTTCCAACAGTAACACCCGTTTCCCTTGGCAACAGCACCACGTGGCACAGTTACTAGGCCAAACGCACACAACAAATCATACAGGGAATTCCCATACACACACAGCTGTTACACCACACACTAAATAACTATTACTGTACCTTTTTTGGCGAAATTATACAATTACCCACGCTATAATACTCAATATTTAAATTACCCATCTATAACACACCCTAGTAACATCGTCTTTACAAACAGTAGTTATAGTACGGTTAGCATTGGTTAGAATACAATTTTAAAGTCACAGGTCAGTTAATAGTCGTTATGGTGTTAAACATACAACATAAACGACAGTTATTAGTGATTATTTACAGTATCAGTGATTATAATACATGGTTATGGTACCTGTGGCGAAACCAACCTCGCCACTGTGAACTGGAGAAGCCTGGTTGCTCGCCTGCTCCCTTTGGACTATGGCCCTGCAGGTTAAACCGTTTATTTCCCCTGCAGAAAGGCTTATTTGTGTGATCTGAGTGCCATTCATCTAATAATGTGCACTCAGATCCCAGCTATCTGGGGATATGTGAAATGTCTGTGTGTTATGTGTAAAGGTGACTTTATGTATTTTAAAGTGTTTTGTGTCTTTTTGCAACCATGTGCTTAATGGAGTCTGTGTCTGTCCTGGGAGATAATTGAATTACTTATCTCCAGGATAGAAGGCTCTGAAACTGGTTTGGGCCAGAAAGCCATGCTTCATTTAGTCACAAAGGACTTTTTACTAACTTTTGAACCCCTTGTCTGATTTGTGCCATTTTTGAATATGTTGTTCCCCTGAATGGATTGATTGTGAATATGTAATTTTATGTGAATGTGATGTATGGTTTTGGAGTTATGAAAGTTGGGTAGAAAGTATGTTTTAACTGTATGTATAATTGAGTTTCCTCTCAGGATAAGGGGAGGGAATATGTGGGATGTAACTGTGATGTGATTGGTTGTTTTATACCTCCCTGTGGGCGGTCCTGTATTTGCAAGACTGTAATAAAAACCAGGCTGGGTGTGCCAGCACCTGAGTTCCTGTTTTAACCCTCAAAGTGAAGTGTCGTCTCATTATTGGGGGAAGGATTTATTGTATGCTGTTCCAGTTTGACTGCTAGGAGAGTAAACCTATTCGTATGGTTCCTATTCAACTGTCTACAGCATTCATATGCTTGAGAGGATTCATATGCTTCTCCGGTTCGGTGGTTGTGGTGTCTGCTGCAGTGCTTGGAGTCCTCAGGAAGCGCTAGGAGCATCCTTTAACGGAGGTACCCAGTCGGGGTGCCAGGCGATCCGTTACATTGGTGGCAGCGGTGGGATGGCGTCCTAGTGCGAGGTAAAGCAGCTCAGAGACACAGTTCGTTTGGAGTTACAATTTGAGGGCAACGCCAGTACCCGTACAGCGCCCCTATCTACGAAGGAACTCAGAAAATGGAGGAGAAGTTGCAAGATAGATTGTACGGTTACGTATCCCTGAGGTCGGGAGCAGTGTCAGAGGAAGACATGTTGAGGTACAGAGAGAGTGCCAGAGCTGAATTGTGGGACGAAGCCCTAGAGGAAGAACAGTATTCGCGAGGGGATCGGCGCCACAGCAGAAGGCAGCGAATCCTGGCTCGAATGGCAGAGCGGATGCCCCTCCTGAGGAAAAAGACCGAAGAAGCATGGGTGATTAGACTCGAGATTTTAGTATATGCAGAACTGGCGCTCGACGACGCATACCAGGCGATACAGTGGTACGCAGCTCAGTGTGTCCCCGAGTTGGCAGAGTATGAGTTCCCAGAAGGCGGAGGTTACGCTGGCCCTGGCCTATTTTGGGACAATATTGACGATGAGGACTTTGGGAAAGCTACTGACTCTCGTTTTTGGGACCTGTGTTACGACCGAGAAGACATGCTGGGGCTCCCTAGCGCTATTGACCTCGAGGCAGACATACAGTATTTGGTCACCAATGAATGGAACCTGGAGTGGGATTACCTGCGACTCATCAATGAGGCCCGGGAAGAGACAGCCGGTCCTCTTTCCCAACAGCAACCAGCGGTACCCGAGGTAGCGGACCTCCTAGACTGGTCCTGTGAGGGTCCCCAGCGGCAGTGTGTGTCCCAGGGAGCTGAAGGTGTCGTCCTTCCTCCCCAGCGGCAGTGTGTGTCCCAGGGAGCTGAAGGTGTCGTCCTTCCTCCCCAGCAGCAGTGTGTGTCCCAGGGAGCTGAAGGTGCCGTCCTTCCTCCCCAGCGGCAGTGTGTACCCCAGGGAGCTGAAGGTGCCGTCCTTCCTCCCCAGCGGCAGTGTGAGTCCCAGGGAGCCAAAGGTGTCGTCCTTCCTCCCCAGCAGCAGTGTGTACCCAAGGGAGCAGAAGGTGCCGTCCTTCCTCCCCAGCGGCAGTGTGAGTCCCAGGGATCCAAAGGTGTCGTCCTTCCTCCCCAGCGGCAGTGTGTACCCCAGGGAGCAGAAGGTGCCGTCCTTCCTCCCCAGCGGCAGTGTGTACCCCAGGGAGCTGAAGGTGTCGTCCTTCCTCCCCAGCGGCAGTGTGTATCCCAGGGAGCCAAAGGTGTCGTCCTTCCTCCCCAGCGGCAGGGTGTACCCCAGGGAGCTGAAGGTGTCGTCCTTCCTCCCCAGCGGCAGTGTGTATCCCCCAGGTGTCGTCCTTCCTCCCCAGCGGCAGTGTGTAAGGGAGCTGCCGTCCTTCCTCCCCAGCGGCAGAGTGTCCTGCAGGGAGCAGAGACCGTCAGTCTCGCACCCCAACCACAGGACAAAATAATGAAAGGGGAGACAGCTGGTCCCCCTCTCCACCAGCAGAGAGAGTGTCAGGGAGAGGAGCCTGATACCCCCTCTCCCCAGTGGCAGTTTACAGTTCAGAGAGAGGAGCTTGTTACACCCTCTCTCCAGCGGCAGCCTAACCCAGCAAGGGGAGAGGTTACACCCCACAACAGTACAGATGGGACTGTAGTCTCTGCACTTACAGCACAAGGGGTAGGGACAGTCGGTCCTGTTCCCCAGCCACAGAGCGGTGTATCCGGAGGGGAGACAGTCGGTCTCTCCCTCCCACAACCAGGCTCCCACCAGGCTACTTCTGTGGTAGCACTGGCATCAGGGCAGAGTACCGCTGGTCTCTGCCCACTCAGCAACCCACCAAGGCAGCCTAACAGTTGCCCACACAGTCGTGGTGAGGCACCTGGACATGGACAAAGTTCTCCTCTACCCAGGTGTAGTAACCAGTTATTGTGGGTGGGCTGTACTGCTGTTTCTGTTTTGTGGGTGGGTTGCTGGACTAACCAGGGCACTGACCGGCAGGAGGTCAGATACCCTGTTAGTCTAGTTGGTAAAGGGGAGAAGTGTGGCGAAACCAACCTCGCCACTGTGAACTGGAGAAGCCTGGTTGCTCGCCTGCTCCCTTTGGACTATGGCCCTGCAGGTTAAACCGTTTATTTCCCCTGCAGAAAGGCTTATTTGTGTGATCTGAGTGCCATTCATCTAATAATGTGCACTCAGATCCCAGCTATCTGGGGATATGTGAAATGTCTGTGTGTTATGTGTAAAGGTGACTTTATGTATTTTAAAGTGTTTTGTGTCTTTTTGCAACCATGTGCTTAATGGAGTCTGTGTCTGTCCTGGGAGATAATTGAATTACTTATCTCCAGGATAGAAGGCTCTGAAACTGGTTTGGGCCAGAAAGCCATGCTTCATTTAGTCACAAAGGACTTTTTACTAACTTTTGAACCCCTTGTCTGATTTGTGCCATTTTTGAATATGTTGTTCCCCTGAATGGATTGATTGTGAATATGTAATTTTATGTGAATGTGATGTATGGTTTTGGAGTTATGAAAGTTGGGTAGAGAGTATGTTTTAACTGTATGTATAATTGAGTTTCCTCTCAGGATAAGGGGAGGGAATATGTGGGATGTAACTGTGATGTGATTGGTTGTTTTGTAACGCCCTGTGGGCTGTACTATGTTTGTGGATTGGGAATAAAAGAGACTGTATGTGACAGTACAGGGAGTTCCTGCTTAACCCTCAAAGTGAAGTGTCGCCTCATTATTGGGGGAAGGATTTATTGTATGCTGTTCCAGTTTGACTGCTAGGAGAGTAAACCTATTCGTATGGTTCCTATTCAACTGTCTACAGCATTCATATGCTTGTGAGGATTCATATGCTTCTCCGGTTCGGTGGTTGTGGTGTCTGCTGCAGTGCTTGGAGTCCTCAGGAAGCGCTAGGAGCATCCTTTAACGGAGGTATCCAGTCGGGGTGCCAGGCGATCCGTTACAGTACCGTGCGCTATGATACAGTTACACACTATTCACACTCTCGCTAGATGGCAGAGCTCACGCTACCCAGCAAGTTATACACTCTACTATAATAAATTTTAACACATTTACTGTTTCCCAACTAATCTATTGGACAGTACCTCGAGAGACTACCTAAAACTATTTACATCCGTTTTGGTTAGCCGTCGCTGCCCAAGCACCACATATAGCGAACTGGAGGGCGGAATTTACAACAATACCCTTTTAGTCTATCTACTCTATCAATAGTCTAGTGGGTTCCAAATTTACACGCCTTCCCACTTAGCCAAGATAGGTTGAGAACTAGAAAACGATAATGTACACCAGAGTCTGCTTAGTCTCCCGGTCCCTCCGACCTAGCGAACGAAATGTACACCCTAGATACGCTAGTCTAGACAAGACACCGGTGTCCGGCTTGGGCTATATATATTCAACCAAGACCCAGCCTGACTCCATACCAAGATTAGACGGGCTGACTACAGGGCGTCTAATTATGAGCAGTGCGCCTTCGCTCCTTCCCTCCCTTGAGGGGGCCAATTCCATACACAATTCCAATTCAAACCCCTTATGGGCCTACCGCACATCGATATCCAATACCCCTAGTGGGTCCACCGTCTAAAACAGTAGTCGTCTTACCTCCTCGTTCCTGAACCTGAGTTCACACTCATCGACGGGGACACCCCAGTACTTACTACGTAGAGGCCGATGATCTCCTGCACAACAGACCAGTGGCGCCGAGACGAAGGGAGGTCCACACAGAAGTTCAGGGGTGCAGCCGTAGAGAACTTGGGCAAAGATAGACCGTCTCACGCCTCTGCTTCCTAGCCACCGTTAACGACGAGCTTCCTGGCCAATGCACCAAAGATGTTACCGGGAAACTGACGGAGGCCAAGCACAGAGAGATGGACACAGGTTTCTTCAGGAAGGAAGAGATCTTTATTTGATTCACCGACCGGGACTCAGAGGGACTTATGTCACCAAAAACAGCAAAGATCTGAGCACTGAATACATAGAGTACATTCCTTATATAGCACTGTAGCTCCTCCCATAATTAGCTACGCCCACACATACCCTTAACCTAATCAATGAATAGAGTCTAAACTCATCCATCCAGTCTAACCACATGGCTCATCTGAAACAAAGGAGAGGGACGCGTAATTCCAGTTCCTGCATTCCTGCACATGCTCAGTACAGTGATGACAGTATCTTAGCTACGTGTAACTAACTAACTGATACTACAAACACATGTACCTACATATGCCTTGTGGCAATCTTGGCCTACTAAACTTTTATTTTACTGGAATTCCATCACACTACCTCAGATGCCAAAGTATGAAATTTTATAACATGACAGGAGGCTTCGTATTTGCTTTAGTTTCTCTTTACTAGAACTCTACAGCAGCACAGAAAAACAACCAATCAGAATAAAGTTAGTTACTATAAAACTCCCCTCCCCATACAGCATTGCCTCTTTCTTCGCTGCTCTGCAGTCAGTACAGGTCAGAGTACCACTGCCTCCTGCTAATATTAGTTGGGGGCTTTGGGATTTAATTAGGATTTATTTGTGATTGAAATGCATTATATTCTGTTATCATATTATATTTTTATTTGGCTACCTCCTCTGATTCCCCGAGCTGCAGTGTGAGCCTGCCGGCGCCCGGGATTGCTCGCGTTCATGCGCGGGTACCTGGCGGCCGGATCTGCTCACACACGTGGCCGCCTCGCCGCGGCCGGCTTCTCATACCCACGTGCACCCGACCAGCTGGAGGAGGGTGCGGACATCGTCAGGCAAGGGCTAAGTGCCAAGGCTGCGGTCTTATTTTTCATAGCTCTGGTTTTACTAACTTAACCTATTCTATTTAAGTGGCATTATAGCCTTGGGAATTTACAGTTTACTGTAGCCTAACTAAGATTTGTGTGTTCCGAGGCATATTTACCGATGCAGTTTATTAGTGTGGACATCGAGGGCTTTTCTCCCGCTGGGATTCTGATGCTGCACATGGCAGAGCCAGTTAGAGCAGGGATAGCCCCACGAGGCTGTGCTTCTAGTCCTGTTGGAGTTTATATAAAGTTAAGTGAAGTATTT